GAGACTGGAAAAAATTGTGCGGAATTCGGAAGTCGGTTTACGTGCAATTTCATCCGCGTATTTGGCGCTCCGTGCTCGACGCGCTGCGCTAGGGGTGCGTGCTCGGGGGTGCGTCTTGATCGCTTATCTTCACCTTAACACGTGGGGCAGGGTTGCCACTCACCGGTTACAAAACGGTTTATTCTTAACTGTTTTAAATTGTTATGTTTGTAGACCACCTAAGTTAACTTCGTTAAGAACCTAGTTTTGAAGAAATGTTTTGAAACATTAACATGAGTGAAGCATTTATATAAGTAATGTTTTAAAATATATATGTAGAGACAAGCAACTTGTTAGTCAAAGATCAGGTAAATAAGACCAAAAACGTAACACTATTTATGTACGTAATGCATCAACTTAGATGTAATCATATTATAATATAGGTGATAACTACAGTGTGCACTTCAATACAGTTTCCACAAAGCAGCAGCTTGTGAAGGTTCAATAAGAAAGCTTCACAGTGCGAGGCAGATAAATCATGAAGCCAACGCAGAATGCTCAGAACACGCAATACAATTGTATACATTCCATTCAAGAGAAGGTACTCACATGATTAAAGCACTCGCAAGCAAAATAGGTTTAAGCATAATGAGGGAAATTTCCAGACTCAAATTTCTCAATTCTTCTGTTCCCTTTATACAGTAAATCTTTGCGATTATGGTCAATTGTTATTAATTGGTAAATTACTTGCATCGAAATACATTTTTGATTTGAATAAAAATTACAGATTTATATATTTTTAAAATGTATTAGAATGAGGCAAAGATCATATTGCCAGGACGATGTAGTGATGATCAATCAATACAAGCCGCATTGTGTGTTAAGAATTTCCTTGTCGTTAACATATAAAAGCGAGATCCGAAATGCACACGTACGAGATAGATAGGATACCATTAGCGGCGACACGTCATACTTAAGCAAAATATACGATGTTTATGTATAAGCCATGTAGGAGCCGCGGCCGCAACAAACGCTGCTGTTTATTTGAAGTCAGTGGGGCCGGATCACGTTTCATATGACTTAACTTTGACCCCGATACGTGCCCCGCGTGCTCGCGCCGCGCCGCGCCGCCGCATCGCCGCATCGCCGCGTCGCCGCGTCGCAAGCGCCCTCTCGCCTCGCGTCGCCTTTCTACATCTTCTTTGAATGTGTTTCAACGATATTAAAAATACTGTATACTTGATTCTAATACAACTCATGAAAGGACTTATAATATCGTTATATTATGATTTAAATACATATTACTTTATGACTCAATGGCATTAAATGCTACGTGTGTTCACAGATTCCTACCACAATATTCGGGACTTTAATTTTTGAATTGAACCGTTATCGACCCTATCAAGACAGCGCGAGACTAAGGAAGCTTTTAGTACCCCTTGTGCAAGTCCTCTGATGGAACTTCCAACTGAGTGGTCTCCGTGCTAAGCCCCTCTACAAACTTAATACGATTATCAACGCATATCAAGGAGTTAGCTCAGATACGCTTCGATAACTTTGCTTTTGGAAGGTTCTTAATTTATCCATTTGTCTTGATAGAATTCCACATATTTAATTTGTTTATCAAAGTTTATAGGAATGACGGCATAGACATTTTCTATTCACAAGAATTAAACGAATATCCTTTATCTTTGGTCTTAACTCTAGTACAGAGACAAAACATACTCTGTATTGATAAAATAATTCAAATCGATAAGAAGTACAAGTTCGGGACGATGTCCTGCATACAAGTCTACAGTTGTTGGTGAGTCGTGTGGGCCGTGCTGCATCGCGCCGCGACATCCACTACATATGTACGTTACATACATACATCCATATTTTATACAACAATTTACCACAGATAATTTTCGCTTTTTAATAGTTGTATCGAAATGAATTCGCTAACTTTTGCACGGAACTAAATCGATTTGTAAAATGCATACGAAAATAGTTATGTATGTCGCTTTCAAACAACAGAGATTAAAATCAGTAGCATCGCTAAAGTTATCACAATTTAATCTCTCTATAGAAGTGAGGACAATGCCCGTTGCGGCTTAGTGTATGCTTTATAGTACAGACGCCTGATAATCTTACCCATATCAACTTACAACTTGCCTTTCATATGTTAATTGTTTTGAACACATTTCCCAAACTATACACTGCCTAAGAGAATGACAGAAAATTGCTTAATTTTAAATCAATATTTTGATTACAAAATAACATTAAAAAGCTTTTCTTACACTCTCAGTATGATTAAATCTTTTCAATGAATTTTTTCTTCATTAGAACAGCGTTGTTAGGGAAAATATTTGATTCAAAATATGTGAAATATTGAAACGTCAAATTAGAATGGCGAAAGCAATAAAAATAATCATGTTTTATGTTTGCTTTGTATCTGTTTCAGTATGTTTGTGTGGTTAATATAATAGATTGAAAGTAATTAAGTCAATTTTGGTAGAGCCAGCAACAATGATATTTGTTGGTTGCACGAAAGAAATACCACGACCACACTAAAGACAGGCGTGAAGTGGAAGCAATTCCGCGTTTCGCCTGATGATCGTGCGTATCGTAGGACTACGGTTAGTTATTTTTCCCCTACCTTACTTTTCTTATTGAGAATGGATGAGATAGGCAGATGGATTTGACGGACGTGAGGACTCACACAAAGAAGAAATATCATCTTTCTGTTCCCCACTCCCTCTGTCGATGAAATGTAGATTAAACTATGGACGTCGGTCACTTCGCTATTTAAGTACCAATTTAAGTGGCTCCTTTCTCTTTTGCAATAATCTATGATTCATTATACCACTTGTATTGTAACTTTGTCTTAAGTAAATTATCGAACTTGTGTTCTCAAGCTGTGTAAGTAAATCGTGAACAATAAACAAACGTTTGTGGGAACTAAGTGAAGGGGCCGGCCCTAAGACTTACGCCCTAAGGGTCACCTATACATACAGACTTAACTTAGACCACGTTACTTACTGACGTGACCTATGACGTTGCCTTTCATCTGCAAACATATATTTCATCATACCATTTAATACAAACATTGCATTTGTTTGTTAATATTATTCTATTGTAAATGTTACCCGAGTTGAATATTTTATGTCGTGGTCGTGTGGGAAATTACGGTTAAAAATTCGTAAACATGAAATGTACCTATACAAAGTCGTATGAAATGTTATATGTTGAATATTTTCCACACAACTGCACTGCACACAACATAAAAACATATATATGGAAATATATAAGTAGATACACGAGGAATAAGAATATTTTTAGCAGTTTGTGACGCGAGTTCCGCACAGAACTCAGCGCGTGCGACCAACCGATAAATGGAAGAAGTATTGTGTCTCGTATCTTTGTTGTTCCTAATTTTAAAATGATATAACGATACTTGTTACGTTTTTTAAGATTTCTCATAAAATAAAAAAATATAGATTTTAATAGTTCAATGACGACATTGTTAGTTATTGACATGTTGAATATTTCCCAATACAATTTAAACAATCCTATTTAAAGAACAAACCAATATGATTGAAGTGACAATGGCTGCACTTCATTAGAATTGAATAAGTTGGTGTTATTGGCAGGCTGGCTGCCGAGTGACGTCACAATACGCACCACAGGATATAAAAGTGCGACCATTTCTATTGCAATTGATTACTGTCTCTGAAAAATATTCCTTCTTACCCATACGTGAAAGTACACTTTCCGAATATTCTACTCTGATTATCTTCTATTTTCACAACTTAGAAATATACAAGTAAGGGTCACAAACACATCATTTATGATATGAAATAAATTTAGTGGCAATTTAAGGATTTCTTAGCTATCTCCACTACACACATAATATCTTGTAATATCTTGTGTTCAGTTTAAATGGAGCTAAATGTAAAAGAACAATTCGAAGTAAAAATTAAGATGTATACTTAGATTGTAGCAGAGGCTTGGGTCGTTGGGATAAGCGCGTATAAAAGTAGAAATAACACTAAATCCTCGGGATACTGTTATTACAAGGCAAATGTTCGGTCGCCGCTGCCGGCTGCCGGCACACTCCGGCAGGGGCATTACCACGCGCTACATTTTTACACCTCTTTGTGCGACGCTCCGGGAAATTCACCGTTTATATACCAGACGTCGTAACCATTGAGGTGAAATAACACCTAACCTACCACTATCGTATCCACATAGAAACGTGACCGAATTTTTACTTATCTCTTTAAAATCAAGTGGATGTTTGGAAACATAATACAAGTATTTATCTTTCAAAAATACAAAAGCAAAATATTATCTTTGGTAAACTCTTATTAAAATAACCGTAATGCGTTCGTTAAAAATAAAGCGATCCTGTCACAAGCCTTTATCGAGTTAAAATTTAATCGTATTTTTATCGTCAATCTTAATATAACGCAGCGTTTGATTAATCTCCGCGGCCGTTTGTTTGGAGTCCTCCATCACTCCTGATAACGTTAATGTGCTTAAAAAGCTCCTAAAAGATTACTATTAAAGTGAATTGGCCGTGACGCGGCGTAACATCGCTCGCTCCTGTAGCACCGTCAAAGGGAAACAGGTCCATAGGGCGTTGTTCATTGGAACAACAAAAGCTATCGCTTACAGCTTTTCTCGTCTTTCACAGAAGGGATTGTTTTATACTTATTTACATTTAACATTACATTTAGGTTCATAAAAACAGTTACTTTTTAAACTTTCGATTATTTCATTTTTAGTAAAGAGATATTGTGCTATAAATACGCTACAAGAATCGCGGAGGCAGGAGGAGTGAGTGGAGTTCATGAAGATGTTGCACGTACAGTTTGTAAGCATTAATATTGAAAATAACGCTTTTTTATTTTCACTAAAAATAATGACAAATTATAATGAAATAATAATTTAAGCACTAACTAACTTTAGATAATTAAACGTTATTGTCGACATGACTTCAGCTTAACAGCATGACTAATCAAAAACTTGTGGCGTAAAACGATTGTTTGTCACAAAGTGTGTGGGTTCCCACAAACTGTTCGTATTTACATGTATCGAGTGTAACCCTTTCCAAGTTCTTGAATGCCTTTGAATTGCTGCGTCATCTTGTCAGCGCATAACTCTTGTACACCTACCACCATCTAGATATACGTTAACGAGATTGTTTAAGTTACTTCGGGTTGTTGTTACAAAAGTTGTTATTACAATGACATGTAAAAACTTTGTTGTAGATATATTTTTCACTATGTTAATCAATATGATAGCAAGCAATTTATTTATGCGTACCGCGAAAGTTCTTACTTCTGAGACAGCCGCGCCCCGCGTTGATCGGTGTGCTCGGGTACTCCTGTATACTTGTTGTTGAGCTTGTTGCTGTTACTCGTATATATTATTCTGGTAAATAATACAATTTAATATTATTCTTTTTCAATACCGAAATTAAATTAATAAACATTTAATATTATTATAATAACATGAAGACCTCTCAATCTTAATTTAGATGAGGCCAAACCCTTGCCTTCCCCTTTAATCCAGTTAATTAATTCAGTAAAATAAAACAACTTAACCTTAGGCTATAAGCCTGATTTTTATAATTTATAATGAGGTTATCCTTGTAAAGATCAAGTGTACTTAACATTTTGGTGTTTTTGTTAATTCTCTGCCGTACTTTTACTGACTTGATGGAGCTGTCCAGCCAATTTATTTAACGTTTCGAACTGTATAGTTTGGAACTTGGTTCCACGAACTCTAGTAAACTGACCATCCATTGAGTAACAAAGCAAGTTACCTGCTAATATCTTCTTTTGTCCCAGGCGTTCAATA